TTTGTGAGATATATATATATATATATATATATATATACATACATACATATTCTATATTATTTTAAAAGGGAGTTTATGCCCAAGTTCTACTATATAATAAATATAATATGTAATATTGAAGAAACTTCCTTTTAAAAGTCCCACAAGAATATTATATATTATATTTGGGCCTAAACTCTCTTTTATAATATAGTAGAATATATATATATACACACACACTAGAAATGAAAAGGCCCGTTAAGGGGTTTCAATGTATTATAAGTATTTAATTAGTTTTTTGAAAGAAAAATTGTCATCAATATTTTTTCTAATAAAAACGATACTAAAATGATAATAAAAATCACACTTTATAATAAATTATTGTTATTATTATCAAATAATATAACTTATTTAAATTGTCTTAATTAAGACTACAATATCATATGATCCAATGGTTATTTTAACAGAATGTCAAACACACACATTCGAATTAAAAAGTTAATTAAAATTTAATAATTCTTTTACTCATCTAATGATAATAATTCAACAAACAATTTGAGTGAATTAATCTTATTTACTCATTTGTGTTCTACTTTTTCTTAACGTAATATAACCATGAAAAACAAATTAAATTATACCTTATTTCTTAAGATAATAAATATTATATTTGATTATTTATTTTTTATAAATATGAAAAATAAATGAACACAAAGAAATAGATAATCTTTCTATTTCACTTTATTTATTTGAAAATCAACGTTGGATTATAAAAATTACAAATATAACTTAAAGTTGTATTTGAAATTTGAAAAAACATTCAAAACTTTTTTTAATACTTTAACTATTATTTTTTTCAAATTTTATCCTAAATTATTAATTTTTATAAAATGGCTCCATTTTAATTATATATCATATTTTATTTTATTTTTAGAAAAAGCATATTCAAATAATCAAATATTATTTGCAAAATCAATAACTCAACACAAATTCAACTTAATTTTTTAAAAAAATAAATTGGATTTTTTTGTAATAGTATGTAGTAGTTCTTATATGAGATATAATCTATGACATTATACGATTATTTATTTTGATATATTACTCTTTTAGTGCAATTTGGTTGTATGCCTTATGTTAATTAGTCAAGTAATTTTTAGAAAAGGAGGAATGTAGATCATATTTAAAAAGATATAATATATAAATATGTCTTTTAACTTGACATCACTTAACATCTATGGCATTTAACTTCGAGTGTGCACATGTACGTTAGCATTTAAACTTATATAAATTTGAACAAGTAGACCCACGTGTCCTACGAGACATAATTCACGTAGGACGCCACATAGAATGTCACATAGGACATGAATTGTATAGCTGCGTAGGACGTCAAGTAGGACACACTTGTCTACTTATTCAATTCTATACAAATTCATGCGTCTACTATGCACATAAAAAATTGGAGGACATTGATGTATTTATGTATTATGACTTTTTTTTTAAAATATTTATTTTTTATATAAAATTTGACCAAACACAACTTTAACTATATATTTTTTTAATAAAACGAAAACTATATTTTCACGACCGAACCACATTAAGAAAGGAAATGATTAAAAGACCTCGAATTTAAATTTTGAATATGAAAAAATTTCATTAAAAAGTGATAAGAACATTCAAAAATAAATATGAATTCAAATTAATAACACTCTAATACGTATATACAAAATCAAATGATAAATTAATTATTTTATTTTTTTAAAAGGCTTAAGTCATCTACAACCACTTAAAATTGTCCACATTATTCACTTAGGGTACACCTCAATTGAGGCTTGTATCTATTGAACACCTCTCCCACATTAAATTTATACCACTTGAACACGTTTTGCCTACGTGGCACTTTGAGTGTGATTCACAACTAATGAGCGCGTGATTTCTTACATTTTTTAAAAATAAAATGAATTTGTCTTCTTCCTTATGCGTGCCTAAATGCGCCTTACTCCTCCACCTTTCTTCTTTTGTGTGCTTGTTGCCATTACTCTCCACCTTACAAGCAAGCAGTTGCCGCCGTCGCCACCACAATCATCCACCAACAACACCCTTCTTCCATTTTTGCTTCTTTCTTCTTCATCTAGCTTATTCGGATCCTGACGGCTGGTGACAATGAGTTTGTCACTCATACAAGGCTACTTCTTGCCAGAGGAAGAAGAACAAGAGCCTACAAATTCGACGACAACGAAAATGATAAAGTTCCACATAATCATTAAAAACTCTTTTCAAGTCCAACCCTTCTTCATCTTTCAAGCTTCAGGTTGCCCTTGACGCCTTTTTCGAATTAAATTACTCTGTAATTTACTCTTCTTTTTTTCAATTGGAGCAGCAAAATACTAATCTAAATGGATAGGCGATAAAAAATATATTATCCTTTTTCATCTTATTATGTGAAGTGCAGTTCGTATGAAATTTATTATTGAAAATTTTAAGGACGTCGGAGATTTAATAGACGTGGGTGGAAACTGGAAAGAGATACGATGGTGGGATACCAGGAATAAATGGGGAAGGAAGGGTCGTTAATAAGAATCAATCTCACGGTTATTAGGTTCTTGAAGGAAAACAAATAATGACCTACTGAAATGATCCATAACAATATTAAGATGTGTAGTGAGATTGAATTATCTGACATGTACCATTAAAATAATGTATATTAACAAATCTTACATCATGTCTAAGGTGCTCCTATAAATCTGAATGTACCACCAAAAGAATTTTATACGTATGTTATGGGTTTTCAGCTCAGAGGAAAGGAAAATGAAGACATGCAGTTCGTACATCAGCTTATTTCATCTGTCATATTCGAACTTTACTTGATCTGATGATAACATCACGATGAGCCAGACCAACAGTTGTAGAGATGCTCAGTCCGCTTGCAAGTTTGTAGAACTTCATCCAGAGTGCCAAATGGATCATCTATTTTCCGAAGGTTTTTTTTT